AAAATTAAAACCAAATTTTTTCGGTTAATTTAAAATCGGTTTTGATTTTGAACCAAAACCGGTTTTGCCCACCCCTACATAATACTAGATATCTTTCTTCGACAACTAAGGAGGCAGTATACGGGATTCTCTCGCGGATGCCCGAACGGCTTGGTACCTATAGGGAAACGGAGAGGATCTGGAAGCTTGTATGTTAGGAACTCCTTCATAAGTTCCTCTGTTCTGATCTGTGCAAACTCTGTTTCTATTTCCCCTTGCTCTTGCAAATTAATGTCAATTGATTAAGAGAAAAGGAAATGAAATTGATTAGAAGATCAGAAGATGAAGAATCATGTGTTACCTAAAATCTGCACATGTAATAATCATCACCGAAAAATGCTTTTAAGGAATCAACTAGTTTCACTCTCATCACCGGATTTATTCTTTGAAAAGGCACATTCAAGCTCACATAAGCCTTGACTTTGTCCGACTGGAACAAGCACAAGTACCAACCGATGGTCGTGCCCCAGTCATGGCCAACCATGAACACTTTCTCTTGGTTGACAAAAATCGCATCGAGTAGGCCAATTAGGTCGCTGACCAAGTGGAAGCAAGTGTAGCTGGAGATTGATTCTAGTGCGTCGGTGTCGTCATAGGCTCTGAGGTTAAGAGCGATGGCACGGTAATTGGAAACTGGGTTCTTGAGATTACAAAGTTAAGGATTTGAAAACCCTAGATTTGGAAATTGGCATCTTGAGATTGGGGATGAAGTTGTTGTTTTAGTTTTTTTTTTTTTTTTTCTTTGTTGGGACGTAGGGAGAAGTGGGTCCCACTAACAGTGGTCTCCACTGCATACATGGTGTCTACCTGTGCAGAAAATTATGTCGTATCATTAAAAAAAGATCCACATCAGATCAATAATTATACACGATGTCCATGTTACTATTTGGGTGACACGTATTGTATTTTTTAAAGATTATTAATGGACATGTGAACGTTCATTAAAATATTAAATTTTTATGGATTTAAAAAAGTAGAAGGTGTGAATAGGGAGAAAAAATTTTAAAAGGTAAAATTTTGGAAAGTGTTGATTACGGAAAGGATATAAATAAAGGGTGCAAATAGAGGTTTTTGTAATAATTTAATTCTTCATTGTGAAAGGTTGTAATTTATTCATTTTTTATAATATTTTTTAAAGATAATTATTTTTAAATTTCAACCATTAATGGATACAATTTTGTGTAAATAATGTGTATAAAAGTTATATATAAGTAAATTCTAACTATATATATAAAAAAGTAAAGTGTAATAAGAGGGTAGGTGTGAGGTTATCTCCTTAATTAAAATTTTTTAAAAATTATAGTCTTGATTAATAAAATTACAAAGATTATATTCTTAATTAAAATTTTTTAAAAGTAATAGTTTTGATTAATAAAAATAATATTATATCTTTAATTACAATTTTTTTGAAAAAATGTATCCTTAATTATATAAAATCTCCAATTTATGGTGTTAAAGTGCATTTAGCCAAACCACTAAAAGCAATTTAGAGCATGTTGGATGAATCTTGTAAGAGCTTTTACTTTTTTTTTTATACTGTTTATGAGTGATAAGTTAAAATTTTTATTGAAAGAAAAATTTTAAAGTTATTTTTAGAAATATAAAAAAATGAGTAAGAAATGAGTAAAAAAAAGTTTATAAAAAGTAAGTTTATAAAAAGCATAAATTTAAAACTTTTCAAAATTTATTGTTTAAGATTTTTCTAAGGTTGAAAAGAAGTTAAAAAATTGTAAATTTTTAAGAGAAAAATTTAAATTTATGAAATATGAATAGTATCAAAAAGCTGAAATTCTTACAAGTTTCACCAAATATACTCTAAGGGCATGTGTGGTAAAGTTTGTTAGAATTTTTATTTTTTTATACTGTTTATGAGTGATAAATTTAAATTTTTATTATTTATGTTCTTTTTAAGGTTAAAAAAAAGTTAAAAATTTATAAATTTTTTTTAAAAAATTTAAATTTATGAAATATAAATAGTATCAAAAAATTGAAATTCTTACAAGTTTCACCAAATATGTTCTAAGGGCATGTTTGGTGAAACTTGTTAAAATTTTTTTTATTATTTATAAATGATAAATTTAAATTTTTATTAAAAATAATTTAAAAATTACTTTAAATAAAAAATAATAATAATAAATGAGTAAAAAAATTTATAAAAAATTTAAATTTAAAATTTTTAAAAATTTACTATTTAAGTTCTTTTCAAAATTAAAAAAAATTAAAAAATAAAGATTTATAAAAAAAATTTTAATTTATAAAATATAAATAATATCAAAAAAATCAAATCCCTTCCTAACTTATCCAAACATGTTCTTAGCATCGAAGGTATTTTCAACTTTTTGAAAGGACGTGGCGTATTATATATTTCCAGTATTAAATATCTCGACAGAAAACGACGAACGGCAACGATAAGAACCGCTAACACCACTTTCTCACGCGATTCTGCTTCTCCTCGCGTTTCTCTAGGTAAATTTGCCTTCCTCTTTTTCTTAGCAGATCCCTTTGATTTCCTTTTATTGCTCCTATTTGTATTTTATTATTCGATTTATGCATCTCCATGACCTGATGAACTATCAGTTCTTTGCGGATGAGCTGTTTGTTTTTGTTCCTTTCTTTATATTTAATTTTTCATCTGTTTTCATTTATTTTCATGAATAATAGTGTTTGGAAATGTTAATGCTTTTGCTTTTATGGGTTTTTGTTGAAACAAATATTCTACCGGAGGAATTAAATTTTTGGTTTTTCAAGTGAGTATTAGTGTTTTACAGGGAGATAGTTTTGAATATTCAGAAAATGGGTAACATCATATGGGTTTGTGGTTTTAAGCAAGTTCATGGAAATTTTGATGTTTTGGCAAATGGGTTTTAGTTTTTACATTTATTTAGGAGGTATTGAGCTTGTGGTCTATCAAGCAAGTATTTTTGGGAACTATTTAGTATTACTCTCACTCACAAATGGGTTTTCCCTGTAATGTTAGGCTAATTGAAAGTGTTCCTTCTCTTGCAGAAATACTAGTTGAAGATTCAGAGACAGAAATAGTTTGTCTGTGCAATGGCTGGACAGAGAAATGACTATGGAAAGAGATCCGGTTTTCAATCTGACTATGTGGGAAATGGTGGAGGCAAGAGAAGGAATGCCAGTGATGATGGTGACTTTCATGGTATTGGGTCTGAAGATACTGTCTATCGATACTTGTGCCATGTGAAGAAAATTGGAAGTGTTATTGGGAAAGGTGGTGAGATCGCAAAACAGTTGAGGTCAGAGAGTAAAGCAAACATTAGGATTAGTGAGACTATCCCGGGTTGTGAGGAGCGAGTTGTGACCATCTATAGCTCAAGCGAGGAAACTAATCTTTTAGGAGACACTGGTGAGTTCATTTCACCTGCACAGGATGCTCTCTTCAAGGTGCATGATAGGATTATTGCAGAAGAGATTGCTGATTTTGAAGAGGCCCAAGTAATCATTGTAAGGATGCTTGTCCCAGCAGATCAGATTGGATGTGTCATTGGGAAAGGTGGACAGGTGATTCAGAATATACGCAGTGAAACTCATGCTCAGATACGCATTTTACGTGATGAGCATTTGCCTTCTTGTGCTTTGAGTTCTGATGAGCTTCTCCAGGTAGCATATTATGTCAAAAAATATGCATTCTTCTTATTGTTATTCATTTCGAATGTCCTTTAGGTGATCAAATTTGTTAGTTGTTGTCATATTTGGAAGATTTTTATACATAGCCAAAAACCATCCTCCTTTTTTTTTTTTTGGTTATTTATGTATTTGTTTTCTGGGGTTCCAGATAATGGGGGAACCCTCAGTTGTGCGAAAGGCTCTTTATTTTGTGGCATCTCGTCTTCATCAGAATCCATCACGAACCCAGCACCTGCTTCTGTCTGCTCTCTCTTTCATAGGTCAATCTGGTCCCAATTTCATGAATGCCCCGCATATTGGTGCCTATAACAACTATTCTTCTAGAAGAGATGAAGCAACTGCAAGGGAATTTTCTCTTCGGTTAGTGTGTCCAATTGGAAATGTCGGAGGTGTGATTGGAAAAGGTGGTGGATTTATCAAACAAATTAGACAGGAATCTGGGGCTTCTATTAAAGTTGACAGTTCTGGAGCAGAAGGGGACAATTGCATTATATTTATATCAACAATGGAGGTAAGAGTGCATTCAATATCCTGTCATTACCTGCTGTCTCCTTTAGTTTCAATTTTCCTTTTGTGGACCTTCCTTTTGGATTGATCAAGATTCAATGCCGTGTTGTTTCTGATGCAAGTGTTTTCTCTGCAGTTCTTTGAAGAACCATCCCCTACAATTAATGCGGCTCTGCGATTGCAATCACGATGTAGTGAGAAAAGTGAAAGAGAATCGGGTGATTCTGTTATCACCACCCGTCTGCTGGTTCCAAGCTCACAGGTTGGATGCCTTATTGGTAAGGGTGGGGCAATTATTTCTGAGATGAGGAATGTTACAAGGGCCAGCATTCGCATCCTTTCACAGGAAAACCTCCCTGAAGTTGCATATGAAGATGAAGAGTTGGTGCAGGTGAGTAAATACATGTATAAATTTTTGCAGTGTAGGCTCATCCACTCCTGTTGATTGTTCATTACTGTGATCAACCTTTAAAAATGAAATGAAAATTATGTTTCAATGTTGAACAGATAACTGGAGGCCTTGAAGTTGCTAGCAACGCTCTTTCACAGGTAACTTTGCGGTTGAGGGCCAATATATTTGAAAGAGAAGGAGCACTAGCCGCATTTCCAGCTGTTCTTCCCTTCACTCCAATGTCAGTGGCCATATCGGATGGTCCTAAGTATGGAAACAGAGATGCTCAACCACGTGGTCGTGGGTACACTTCCAACTCAGGCAGATATGAGTCTGGTGAACTGCCTGCAAGTAACAGTTATGAATCATACAGTGAAAGCATTAATGGATCATATGGAGGCCATTCTTCTAGCCGTGGGTGAGATATATCTAAAATGTTCAAAATACATTCAAAACTTATTTGTTTAGTCTGCCACATGAATATTTTTCCATTTAAATAAGTTATTTGGTCATCTATATTTCTGCTTTATATTGATCATCATCTCCTGAGGTTGACATAATCTTCCGCCAGGCTAACTGGTCAGAACCCAGTTTCCCAGAAGAAGCATGGTTATTAGTCCAAGAATGTAGTCTGTCAGGTGAAAATTGTTTCTCCCTTTTTATTTATGTAAGATAATTCATCATCAAGCTGTTTTGATATCTTTTAACCATTAAAAGAAAATAGAGAAAAAAGAAGATATTGCAAGACTTCTTCACCCTGGCTGGCAACCTCCTTTGAGAATTCTAACAGATCTTCCCTCTTTGTTGCCTTCCTTTCCCATCCAAACAGTTGTGCTCAACAAGTCTTGAAGACAGACCATTTCCCCTTTCTGATAAGCTTACAGTCTAGGTCAGAAGATCATATAAACTGCTCTTTCAGAAACTTACGCTCCACAATTGCCACCCTTGCGCTTTCTCTTTAGTGACTATTAGAAAATGCAAACACAATTCGACGATTTTTGGTCTGGGCTTGAAGATAATGATAGTTACCCTGCTAGATTGTGGTATACATTTCCTTTAAAAGCCTTGTGATGGATGTACGAGGCAATTCCCCCTTTTTTTTTTCTTTTTTTTTTCTGGTACAGCAGAAATTGTTATTTTTTACAATATAAATCAGATAACAATTTTTCTTAATGTTGTCTTTTAATAGTTTATTTACACTTAAATGATTTCATAGCTACAGTGATAGAGAACTTTAGGCAACTATAATCTAAAATTTAAACGCTTATGCGTTAAGGTTGAGGATATTTGGCTAGTTTATGTCTGCAGGTCGGTATATTTGGAGGCTCGCTGCCTTGTGAAGACATGTTTGAATGGAGCTTCATATATATATATTTTCGGCCGAATGTGACTGGAGCTAAGTTTCTCATATCCTATTGTATTTTGTAGTATGTTGTATCCTTGACTGATCTGGCATGGGACACAAGTAAGTTCTACATTGCAACTTAGCAAGTCACTTTTCCTACCAAGAAATAGAATTCTGGTTATAATTGTAACACAAAGATGAACCATGGGGCAACTTTACTTAGAAAAACTGCATGGAAAGTTAGAAATTATTTTATGGAAAGTTAATAAATTTTGTAATGAAAATTTGTGGAAGTTTTATTGTGTTGTTAACCTTTTTATCTTTGGTAAGAAGTATATTGAGAAAGTTGGAAAAGAGCTATCAAGCAAACCTTACATTAGGAAAGTTTGAGGAAATGTTTTTCCCTTCAAATGTGGGAAGAAAAGATTGCTTATTTATGTTAGAAAATTAAAGGTTAAAAATATCAACTCGAAAAAGTCCACACTTTCATAGGTAACTTCTTGGGGTATTTTTTTTTTGCATATCAAACACACCCTAAAGAGTTTTCAATAAGAGTTTGGTCAAATTCATACTTATTGTCTAAAAGACATTGGTTAGGGGTTAATGTTAGAGATTTAAACTGTATTAATACTAAATAATCAACTACAATTTACAAATAAAAAAAAAAAGGGATGAAATATTAGTTTCCTGTTGCTTGAAAAGTTAAAAGAAAACTCCAGTTATATCTCTATGTAAAGGATTGAAGTGACATTCATTATTTTACCTTGATGAGTGGGCTATACAACTAAAATAACTGAAATAACAATTGTTTCTTCTTCGTTCTCAAACCCTTCCCATGGTTCCGCCCATCTCAAATTCAAAGTCGAGTCTTGAACTCTTATTAATTAACACACTCGACGGTAAGATGAAGATGAGACTATTGTTTCTCAAATCTCTCTCATCCATTAACGTTCCAACTTAAAGTTTGAAGTTCCTACCAATTAAGACTAAATGGTACGATGGGACAGCCCATTGGAGCAACTATGTTTTTCTTTTCTTAACAGGTCATTTGATTGAATGAAATACATGTCTTTTGCACTTGAGCTCGATCTTGTTTGTTACTTGAGCTATGGTCGAACAAAACTCTGATATGCTTTATTCATTTTAGCCCTATCCACTGGTTCTCAACAAAGTGACAAATAAAATTAGTTTGAAAGTAAAAATATGAGGCATTTTTTTTAGATTGGATGCGAGTTCTCAATATTGTGTAATTTAAATAAAAAAATTCCAAGCAGCCTCATCATATTGCATCATCACTAATTTCTTGTTTCATGGAGCACGAAATATATATCTTGTATACCGAAAACAGATAACCACCAAAATAGGTAAACAAAATGAAAAAAAAAAAAAAGAAAAAGAAAAATTGAAAAAAAAAAAAAGAAAAAGAAAAATTGCAGCATTTTGAACTTCTTCGTGGTTGCTTAAGACTCCAATGTCTTAGCTTCATCGCAGCTCTGACCAGCAGCCACTGTATTGCAACTGTTGCTGGTGTGACCATCAATGTTGCTGCTTTGATCCCCGGAGGATGTGGAATCGTGAATACCATCATCTACTGTAGAGAAAAAGAGAGAGAGAGTTGGCATGTGTAATAATTGGATGTCTAACCTTAGAGGTCTTTAGAATGAGGCACTCTTACCTTCCCCATCATCTGCGTGAGCATAAGCAAAGCGCCTGGAACGCACCTGCTGGTGTGGGGTGGGCTAAAAACGACAATCAAACGTTCACAATAAGATAAAGGTGTTCAGGGTTCAGAAATATGCAGGATTCCAGGTACAGTAGATTAAAGAAATGAGAAAGCCTTGTACATTACCTGTAATTTTGGGCGTAATGCTTCAAGTGGCCCTTTGGGCTTTTGTGCTCCTTGCTTTTCAACAAATTGCAAGTTCAGATGTTTCAAACACATCAAAACCAATAACAATCATTTTACAAGTTTGCAGTCCTACAAAAATTCAAAGGAAGTACCTTTCCCAATGCCCAATCAGCTGAATCAAAAAAAGCACGTTCATGGTCCTAGAAAAGAAAATTACAGTGTTTTTCTTTAGAGAAGTATAAAAGAAGTATAAAATATTCTCTGATATGCATGAAAAGAGACAAAGATCACAAGTTGATTCCTGCAAAAGGGGACAGAAATGCAAAAAGAAGCAATCTATCATAAGAAAGTTCTCATCTGCTTCCACAGCTGCAGGACATTCAGACACAATGCAGCCTCAGAACAAAGAAAATACTAGAAAAAGAAACAGGAAGCTAACTTTTTTGCAGAAAATTACAGTGATTTTTTGGTAAATTCGAAAAAATGTTTTGCAATTCCAATTATACCGAACCACAAGACAGGGGACTCAATGTAATTAATCTATGTATTGAATTAGAATAGCATTTTCCAGAAGGAATAGAACAAGGAAAAATGGCATCAGTTACCTTGGATATCAATGGGGGTTTCTTTGGTAACAATCCTCCATACTTTTTCTTGATTACTTCTTCCTGAATAAAAATTAAAAAAAAAAAAAAGAGGGTTATTATTGAATTATTTTCTGGACAAGCAAACGCTGCAGGAAGAGATTACCTCCTGCTGTTCTGAGGGCATGGCGTTTTCGTTATCTTCCGGTGAATCTTTCAACTTTTCCAGAGAAGACTCCCCATGATTTTGATTTTTATGATCATCAACTTCATCGCCAAGGTCACTCTCAGCATTATCCAAAAGCACCTGCTCCTTTACATCATCTTTTGTTTGTGACATCTTACCTTCTGCACAGGAAATAACTACGAAATGGAAACAAATGCAAATATACCTCAGTTGTGGGTTAATTCTTCCCAGGTATTGCTAATAAAAATAAGGGAGAATTGATCATCGGTGACACCAAAAAGGGAAAAAAAAAAGATTTTCTTAAAAACCATTCAAATTAGACAAAGTGCAGAAAATTTTCCATAGTTTCATCTCAAACAAATTGATTTCCCAATTAATCTTGTAAAAACCCATTAAATTTCAAGCAAAACTACCATGCATACATATATACATACATATATATAACATAAAATGGAAAACTCAAAACTTTGAAGAGGATGAGAATTTCTTTAGAACAGAACACATTTGTGGAGGTTAACCGGAGGTTATAACCCTACATCGAATACCCAATTGGAAAATGGATTGAAGGGAAGTGTTAGAGACGTGAACGGAGAACTACCTGAAGGAGATCCCGAGGGGAAGATCGCTAGGGGATGGAGAATCAGACCGAGAAAAAGGGCTTATCGGACTTCACACATATGAAGCCTCAAACTAACGCAGAGAACAATTCTTCTTTTTGGGATGTCGACAAAAGGGAAAATTCCTAGGCGGTGGGTCTGGGCCGACTGTTGCATGGGCTGGGTTGAGCCATGAGTAATGTAAGGAATTAAGGATTGAGGCATATTAGCACAGCATTTTGGAGCTAGGATGGTAAAGTGAGAAACAAGTCAAGCTATTCGTGAGCTATTCGATCTTGTTGATAAAGCGAGCTGTTGAGATGGGTCTGAACTGAACTGCCACAATGACACCAAGTCACCAACCAAGCTAGTCGGCTATGTAACCTATGTTATTTTGGCTGATCGGACTAGGGGTCCTTCGTCAAAAGGACCAATCATTTAGGCATTGCACACGCAACAAGTCCCATGGAGACTCTAAGCACCAAAGTAGTCCTGTTCCAACAGATAGGAATTGAAGCTTGGCGGTGAGTCTTTGGATGATTGCCCCAAACCACCATCACGAAGGTATGTTCATTAGCACTAAACCCAGGTAAATTGGACCTAACAAGAGTTCACATCCTTAAACTTAAGGCCATGTATTGAGTGCTTGTCTTAAATTTTGAGTTACATTTCAAGTCGCCTCAAATTCAAAAACTCTAAAATGAACTTAAGAGTGACTCAAAGCCTATCTTAGAATTTGAGATGGAGGCTTGCGTGTGACCCAAAGTTTAGAATGACTAATAAAGTGTTTCAAGATTCTTTGCAACTTAGACATGATTGGGTCATTAAAGAAGTGACTTGATTTCCAGAGGGACTAGGAGGGTGACCAAATTTTGGGAGGCTTAAGCACCTATCCCACATAGACCTAAGGTGAAGTTGCACAAATACTTATTACTTGTTAAAATTTTGTAAATTTTTATAAAAATTATTTGAAAATTTGTAGATACTCATTGAAAATATATATGTTTTTTATGTAAAAATATTTCCAAACATTCAAAACAAATTGAAAACTTTTACAGAAAACACCAAAAATATTTTTCAAAAAAATTATTTTCACACTAATATGTGTTAATTAAAGAGTGAATAACTTATAAGACTTCAACAAGTTGTTACTAATTATCATCAACTTATTTTCACCTTAATGTGATATGTTAAATAATAGAAATTTCAAAATAAAAGATTAAAAAGGAACAAAAAAACCCTTTTTTAGTCTCTCAACTTTAAGAAAAAGCCTTTTTTTAATTGCTCTTCATCATTCAATGTGCCACGTGTGCTAAATGATAATAGAGAGGCTAATAAACTTTAGGGATTAAAAAAGAGTTTTTTTAAGTAGAGAGACTAAAAAGCAACTTTTTGTTAAAGTTGAGGGACTAAAAATGAGGTTTTAACCTTTGTGAATGTTATATTGCTATTTTATGATAACTATATATTATTGTTCATAATACTTTTTAATGGCTTGATCACTACTAAAATTAATTGGAGAGCGTACTTGAGATCAAAAGAAGATTTTATGTCATAACCTCTAATAACATATATTATGAATTGAACAAATGATGCAACATTAGTGATAAATAAGTTTGATTTTCTATCTAAACTAGAAAATTTCATAGAATATAATTTATTTTTGTTTATTTAAATTCACATAAAACTATAATAGGTTAATAGATAAAAAGAAATTTGGTAAAACTTGAGAAAATATACTGAACAAGGTAAAAAATCCCGCTATCACATAAGTATTAAATATCTTGAAAACATAATAGTCTAAATTCTATGTTGATTAGTTATGGTGAAGTCGAACATGATAGTTCTTCATATCTAGGTGAATTTATTTTAAATTGTTATTTTAATTATTCAACGAGACTTTTTTGGTCTTTTCCCATAGTTTTTTTTATTGAAATAATGTAGTTTTTTAGTGTGTTTTCTCTTAACTTTTTAGATTCAATAGTAATAAACACTAAGAATTTGTTATTATTATTGTTGTAATTGTTATTTTTATTATTAGGTTGTAAAATCACTTTATGTGTGGTTCGTTTGTATTGCACATTTTTAGTGATTATTAAATATAATAATAGTAGTTTACAATTAAAACTAATCTTTAATTGATAAATATCAAAATTACTTTAAAACATTATTAATTTATTATAAATAAGTATTTATCTTTCGTATCACTTAAAATTTTTTGAGATAAACATAATATAGTAGTTCATTAAATCTATAACTATTACTATTGTAAATCTCTTTTTTTATCCCAATTTGTCTCCTCTTTTCAAAATGCTCATATTAAAAGGTTTTAAGTCAAATATAAAAAGGACAATTATACATACACCCAAACAATTAACACCCATCTCAACACCCAAGGCTAAAATGAGGAGGGGTAAATTTGTAATTTTACTGTTTATAAGCCTTGGGTGTTGAAATGGGTGTTGATTGTTTGGGTGTATGTATAATTATCCATATAAAAAACATAACTTATTAGCATTATTCTCTTAGTATCTTTTCATCTACCTATACTCCACTTTTCATTAATTTTTCTTACAATGCTATTTTTTAGTTTACCCTCATGTATTTTATAATTATATTTGCCCATCTACTTATGTTTGCACTCATTTTTGTCTCTCTCTCTCTCTCTCTCTCTCTCTCTTGGTATAGTGGGTAGTAATATATCAGTGAAAATTATCTAATGGCACAAGGCCTACAAACACCAATTATATCTTCCCTCAACTAGTCACAAACTTCATCAAGTGGGTCCTTAAAGAAATGTAGGCTATTATCTAGATGATAGAATGATGATGTTATTATGTTTGCAGAAGTATTTTTTTCAAGTAGCATTTGCCTCACCTTACATACCCAATCTCTTCTCATGAAAGCCTTGCATTTGTTGACCAAATGTGATAATACATTGACCCTAATAGTATTATGTTGCAATTAACAGAGAGTCCATTTCTATAATGACTCGTCAAAGTCCTTTCTCCCACACTAACTCCACACCTTTCCAAATGGCAAGTAACTTGATACGAATTGCAAACCCTTCACCTCATTGTTATGAGAACCCAAAGATCCATTATCCTGTCTCATCTCAACAACATCCTCCTGCAACAAATGCACCAGGTGCACTTTTTATTGATCCATCCACATTAATCTTGACAAACCATTGCGGTGGAGGATTCTAACTTAAAAGATGAATTTGCTTAGACTAATTTTGTGTCTTTTTCAAATAAATGACAA